CCATCAACAACATGACAGAGATGGATGCAGTTCTTAAAGCTGTCGGGGGCAAATACGATGACGCTTTGTGGTTCGGGCTTTGGCAAGGGGTAGAACTCAGACCACACTGGTCTCTTGTAGACACAGATTTCTATGCCGTGGGCCAAGGAGTGCCTACGACTTGGCACATGTCTTCTGAAGGCACCTGCTTTACTCACCTTAATAGGGCGATGTTTGCACTTGACTGTGCTGAGGTCCGTTACTTTTCTTGCTTTGATGGTGAGAGACTTGCACATGAATGTCATATGTTCAAATCTTTAATTTCTAGTCATATGTAACATCATTTTACTATTAAACCAGTTTTTACACCCTCATTAGCCACTTTATAACAAAAATAATAGTCACTCTGTTGAACGCTTTTTAAAAATAACAGCTTTGCGTCGCAGAGAAAAGAAACAAGTTAAATGTAAAACTGAACATGAAAATATCTCAACCAGCTGCAAAGGAGAAAGAATCACTGGAGTTATGGCAGTCCATGAATCTCCAAGCCAGCAGAGTATTAAAAAATAAAAAACTCTGCTTGAGGATATTTTTAGGTGAAGAACGCCACACTTTCCAGTTGTCTTGATTAGAGTTATACAACATTGTTGGATATCCAACACTTCAACTCACTGAGGCAGCTTCTTTATGGAAATAAAGGAAAAAAGGTGGATCAATGTAATTGCAACTACTCATCAGATTTAAGCAAGCTGTTAATTAATACAGTGAACAGCAAATGAGAGCAACTGCTTCAGCACTGTTTAAACATCCATCCATTCATTATCTATACACTGCTTAATCCTCACTAGGGTCGCGGGGGGCTGGAGTCTATCCCAGCTGACTTAGGGCGAAGGCAGGGGACACCCTGGACAGGGCGCCAGTCTACTGTTTAAACATCTCAAATTAAATTATCTCCTTTAAACTTGACCTCAACCATGAACCCAGGCTATTTTCAGGCATTTTAGTATTGTAATACTTGCAGATTCATTATTATTATTTATATTATTATTTAAATATATATTAGCCTTTATATCAAGGACTGAAAAAACGCAACTATTTTTTTTTTCTGTTTAGGAACAGAACACGGACTCAACCGGTACATTCTCTTTGGATATAAAAATTGGACTGATGCTCAGGAATACTGCAGAACCGTCTACACAGACCTGACCAGTTTAAGGAATGAAACAGACTTTGAAGCCATTCAGAGACAGTCCCGTGGCACAGAAGTATGGGTCGGCGCCTTCACTGACAAATGGGAGTGGTCAGACCAGAGCACCTCCTCATTCAGATACTGGCGTCCACACCAACAGTTTTGGGGTTCGGATGGTGGAAAATGTGGTGTCTTGACGAAGAATGGTAGATGGGGAAGACTGTCGTGTTCAGAGAAACGNGGTCCAGCTTTTGCATCAAGGCACCAAAAACAGGGGTCCAGCTTTTGCATCAAGGCACCAAAAACAGGCGTCTTTCTAATTAAGTTGATGACAAATAACACTGAAGTCAATAAAACTGAAGGCAGCAGTAAACAACAGCTCTCGAAACATGTCAGAACACTGAGGACTGAGCCTCAGCTGCAGGAAGTGTTCTGTCCAGCCCTCCGTGTGGCATTTAAAGAGACAGACGTGGCACAGAGCGAGTCAGGTGAGCACCACCACCACCTACTGGACCGGAGGGTGCAGGTTTTCAGAACAAAGTCATCCAGATTTAAGCAGCAGCAACAATTATTATGAGCTCAAATTAACAAAACTTCAAATCTGACCTCATTTGACTGAACTCCATTTGGGAAGTCGTCACATTGTTGTCATTTTGTACACAAACAAAGCAGTGGGCCTTTGAAACCAGTGGAAATTGTAGTTTTTGCCAACCTAAGATAATAATCATGATAAAAAAAAAAATAAAAAAAAAAAGAAGAATTTTTTTATGGACCATTTATAGTCCTGTAACTTTGGAAGGTCTTTTGACAGCTCATATGTCTAAGCCCATTAATTTCATGTTGTTAAATGCTAAACTGTGTTATTATTCTTGACATTTCTACGTGATGGCACACAGAACACGAGTTAGTGTCAGAAGAATCTGTTCGCGCGACCTCATGGAGCCGTGTTTTCTAGATGCCACAGACACACATGCAGCCTTTACTTTGCATTGTTGTTGTCAGTGTCTGATATTTTAGATGTTTTTATTGCAAGACATACTTATCACCGATGGAATTACAGCCTGGATCTTGCTGGACTGACCTATGTATTTGTGATTTCTCAATGAATTCAACAAATCAAAAACTAATCAGTGAATCGACCGAACATTTCTGCTCTTGAGTGTTTTTTTTTTCTTTTTCTGGGAAATAATGAATATATTCTGCATACGCTTGCCAAATGTGTGAATTAAGTCAATTTCCTCACTTTCCCATCACTTCCTGAAGTTTCCATCACTTTAAACAAAACTGGAATCCATTGTTACAAATCAGTCCTTTAAAAACATCCCGAATGAGCTTAAATTCCAAAACAACAACCAACTTTGAATTAAACTTAGAGCTACATTGACATTGGCCTCATTTACAAAGACAGAAATGAAAGATGGACACAAATAAATACAAGAAATGGAAACAGGTAATATGTCTTTGAATATATCTTTATTGTCACTGTAACATGTACAACCAAAATCAAGTGCTTAAAGTGGGATATTCCCTCAACCTGGCAACCCAAAAGCTAAACCTTTTCAGACTTTTAAGTGTGCTACAGAAAATAATCTATTAATCATGAGTAAAACTATTGATTGCAGCTTATCAACCCTCTAAAGATGGTGCTTCATCAGCAAGATTTAAAAAGAATGTTTTGATAATAAATGAATAAATAAATGAATAAACCACAAAACACAAACCATAAGCATGAGTGAGCGTTTCTACTACTGGAGGTAAAAACGAGCACATCTGCAATTCTTTAACCTCAGTTACATGATGTCATGTTCATTTTATTTATTTTTAACTTTGCTAAGACACACTTACATATTAACTTTGCACACGTTATATGTTTACTGGTTACGTAGTGATACAGGTTTCTACTTTGGTTTACTTATGTTTAATATATTGTAATGGAAATGACTGCTAATATTTTATTCTTTAACTTCAAGCATCAAACCACAATCAAAGTCAGATTTTCATTGTGCTAATGTTTCTCCTCGCCTCCAGACACCTTCTTTCTCTTGAGCATTTAAAGAACAAGGTCGCAAAGTGAGAACAAGTTCTGGGTCATGGAAACACCAGTTAGCAGAATGAAAGCACTCAGCTGCATTCAGGGAGCCGCTGGGATGAAAACCTTCCCGTCAGGCTGCTTCTTCCATCGCAGCTTCACATCACCAACTCCGGACTTGCTCAGCTTCTGCATCATCTGGGAAACAGACACGAAATGCTCTAAGACATGTTACACCAAAATGTCTGAACAAAACAAATGCTTGAAACTTGAAAGATTTTAATTCCTTTTTTTTCATCATTAGGCAAAAATTGCTTCATAACCTTTCAGAATCATGAAGTAATTTGGCCCTGAGGACGGTGGTCCGCTTGGCTGAGCACACCACTAGAACCACCCTCCCCAACCTGCAGGATATTTACACCAAACGATGCAGGTTAAAGGCCAGAAGATTGCAAACGAGCCCACCCACCCCAACCACAGACTGTTCTCTCTGCTGCCACCAGGGCGGCGTTTCCGCTGCCTGTTGGCAAACACAGAGAGGATGAGGAGGAGCTCCTTCCCTCAGGCTGTCTGCCTGCTGAACCGCAAACAATAGACTCAATAACAATCCAACCGGTCACTTTGCACTTTGTATGTATACATTTATATGTAGTATTGTTTTCTTTCTTTGTTCCATCTCCTTTTGCATTGTTTGAAAATTTGATTTATTT